GATCACATACTGGCGGGGGGCAGCCGTTTAACAAGTCAGTGTTTTTATCCTCCCAGACGAACCTAGTACCAAATTGCCGTCCCTGGAGGGTAAAATCTTGGTTGGCTTGAGCAGAAGCCGATCCAGTATTTGATCCCGGGACCGTGCATGGTAAGCATGTCACTTATCCCCACACCACGTTGGCCTCAAATGCGTCTTATACCGCGGAAAAATCGTAGTAGGACTGTAGGCTCGTAAAGCTTTGGGTCTCCTATCAATCTGTAAAAGCTAAGAGTCATCACGAACAGCAAATGACCTCATCGAAATGGCCACCAGAATTGTTCAACACGGTGGAACCGGCTATTTGAATAATCCACGGGGAAGCCTCATAATTTACCGATTAGCGAAGGCACTTGACGGACAAAGCGAATTTACATAAACGGTGAACGACGGTTGAAACGAGCAGGGGTGGTAATAATTTAATGGGGATATTTCTCCTCTCTCGTGAATGCTGAAAGTTTTCAACCACGGAAACAAAAATAATGATAATCTACCATGGAAGTAGAGCCTTCTGAAATGAAATGCTGAACTGTAATACTCGTTCACTCCTTACTCTGGCACTATTGAACTATTCCTACCCCAAAAACTGAAAAAATTTTTCGCTGAAACGTTGCCTATAGGTGTAATTCGATGTCCTGATCACGAATATCACATTCGTTTCGAGCGCTGGCGTCATCTGGCGCCATTATGCGCCAATTTGGCGCCCACCACTTTTTTCACCAAAGTCGATGAAAAACTCGCATTATAGGCGGTACTTGAAGCCGTCCTGTACGAATCAACATTTCATTCTTTACCGTGGCGCATATTTGGCCGCCATCACTGAGCCAATTGGCGCCATGATGGCGCCATAACAGCCCAAAGGCGAAAAGCCGTTTCGAAACCAGCTGTGCATATTTGTGATTAGGATAGCTCGATTAACCCCCATATACAAAATTTTTCATCAAGCTTTGAGTTGAAACAAAAGGCCTGTAGGCCTCCAATTCGGCGCCCATAATGCGCTCCAAATGCTCGCGCAGCGCTCCGCAAACGCAATGCTGATATTCGGTGATCAGCGCACGAATACATATATAGGCCAAACGTCATTTCAGCGAGAAAATTTCTTCTTGAGTTTCTGGGGTAGGAGTAGTTCAATAGTGCCAAATAATGATAATCTACCATGGGAAGTAGAGCCTTCCGAAAATCGAGAAATGCTGATACTCTAATACTATTCACTCTTTACCCTCAATGACAGCAAACTTCTAGAAAATAATAAACCCCCGACATTATTGTGTTCGGATCTGCAGCGAAATCATTGGCTCAACAAAGTTGCCTGACCTTTCACAGTAATGACCCGGCAAGCTACTAAGATACATAGGCGTTTAGATGCAACATCCACACAGGGCACATTTTCTCGATGCTCAATAACAGCACATACTGTCTCGAATGAAGTGATACCACTTAAAATCACCCGTTTTCCTCAAACCGGGATGTTCCGCAGGTTTGGGATCGGTGACGGTAGCTGGGTCTTAAGGGATAGCAATAAATCAGGAGCTGCTAAGCTCCTCAACAGCGCAGACAAAACATCGTACCCCAAGTCGGTACCTCATCAGCGCAAACGTCTTCTCCCATGCTGGTGAGTGAGATATAATAGGACGGATCCACATTGAATGCAGAAAAGATAGTCGTAGCTCCTGCTCAGATCAATCGACTGCAGGCAAATGGTCAGCTTGAGAAAAACGTTCAGGACGATCACAGATGTGATTACAGCACTCCAAGGCGAATCACTCTTGCACCTTCGGACGCTGGTCAAAAACCACAGGTGCTCAGCTGGCATCCGGCTAACCCCTTCGTTAAAGGCAAAGCCCGCGATCATTCGCCATCACAGATAGTGGATTAGGGGTTAGCATATACATAGATGACAATGTTCTGAGCAACTCGATAATGAAGAAAAAATGAGTAAAAAAACATTCCAGCTGCCCTAGACCCCATTTCAATCCCAGTTTGTACGTCCATCTCCAACACTTCGCCCCCATCCGCACAGCTGGTTCCGATAAGAACTCTACGACCGTACAAGTGACGATTTTCATGCTTTTTCGTCCTGCAGCTTCGTTTTTCACTGAAAGGCGGGCCTTGAAGGCGGAGTCTGGAGGCGGAGTCACTGGAAAAAGGAGGCGTCACTGAACCTATATTGCGCTATAGCGCCCCTCCCTTACAATTTTTTGCCGCGAAACCGGTACAAGGTTGTTCGTCGCGGACCACACTACCCTTTCAATGCCATATTTTCAACTTCTATACATGATCGCGGACTGCTTTTAAACGGATCAAGAGAGTCTCCACAATTTTCATTGAGTCCATAGTACGATAGGCTGCCAACAATAAAAAATTTCATAGTGTGTACGTACAACATAACAATAACAAACGAGAACTTTGATTTACAAAGGATACCAACTCAGTTGTTTTCTGTACAGTCCTTTTGGCACTACTCCGACAAATGTCCGCAGCCCAATGTGCGTTATGTAGTAGAAAATACCACTTCACGAAATGCAAGCACCTCTTTCTCCATAGTCAGTCACTCCCACCAAAACTCCATCCCACCTGGGCTTCGTGAAAATCTTTCTCTTGCTAAGGAGTGATCAAAGTTGAGACGTGGAAGAATGGGTGCGGGAAGGGTGTATGCCGTGGGACGTGATTTCCCATCATTGAGGCATCACACGACATTACGGCATGTCCCAGCGGGCGACATCAACACAAATGCCATCTATCTACGGTTCCATATTGGACTAGCTTGGACACTTTTAACTGGGTCTTCCCGTTTATGGCACATTATGGCAATTGAGAAATAAAGGTGGTTAGGAAGTGATGAAGTGCTCTTGCTTTTAACCTATTGTTTGGAATGCTAGTCTATTACAACGGTAGATGGGGTTCCTCAGAGAAAAATGTGTCCACCGAATGAGGTATACACTTCTAAAAATGGCTTTCGAGGTCAAGGACACATTATTCGTGGAAAGGGTTCACATCAGAAATTGCAGTGGAATGTAATAGTTTCTATGTGTGTAGTACCCAAATGCATATTGAGCAGTATCAAAAGTGCGACCAATTCTACGTTAGAGGTCCTCACAAGAAAGTTCACACTGCACTACAGTGCTTACCACTAGTATAACTCTGTACAAATCTTTGACAACTGAGAAATCTACATCTAGAACGAATAATACGACGTCGACTATATCGGCCTCATGAGCTTTTCCACTCCTGTTTCTGCCTCTGTTGGGAACGCAACTCCTTCGGATTTCGCCTCGAAGTATTTCCTTGTCGTGTGGAAGACCTTAAAAGAAAACTTGGCAATGATACACAATATTCCCCTTTCTGCTGATTACGTTTGAAAACATAGTGCGCGTCAGATTAACGAGTGTCAGTGGCATCCAATTTTTGAATGAAATAGAAGAAAGAAAAAGTTGACAGGTAAGAAACCGTGATGCAGGAAAGAGCCATTCTCTCCGAAAAGGAAGGGCAAGGAGAATGCGAGCCGTGTTTAAAACATTTGAACGGAAAGTCAGCCGCGAAACATGAAAATTTTTGAGGTTTCACTGTAATGTCTGCACTTGCAGAAAGTTGAAATATTTTCTCAAACAGTACATTACTTATATTAGGTTGTCCGGAAAGTTCTCAGCGTTTTGCACACCTATTTTTTTTTGTAAAATCACTGCTGATTAAAACTCATTCTGCCTTGCTTCTCAGTAGCACGTTCGGAGAGAATTTCTTGCGCTATCTGATGGTATAATTGCCGTTTCACCATTGCTTGATAAACCCCTTTTTCAAGATTTTTCAAGCATGTGAAAAGAGCACTTCGGACGATTTTTTTCTTCGACTATAAATTGGGGCAATCCGCAATCGAAACAGCTCAACAAATTAACCAGGTGTGGGGGCCCAATAGTGCTAGAGAAAGCACTGTGCGGCAATGGCTCAACAAATTTCGTTCTGGAGATTTCAGCCTTGAAGATGAACCTCATAGCGGTCGACCTAAAGCAATATCTGACGAGGATTTTAGGGGGATTTTGGAGGCTGACCCATCCCAAACAGTTCGAGAGATAGCAGAAGAGGCCTTGGCAAATCCACTGTTGCAGATGGTCTGGAACGCATTGGGAAGGTGAAAAAACTCGACAATTGGGTGCCCCACAATCGGAGTGACCGGCAGGAATCGGCACGTCTCGAGGTTCCTTCTGCATTGCTTTTGCGCAGCAGAAACGACCTGTTTTTGGACCGAATTGTCACCTGTGATGAAAAATGGGTCATGTATGATAACAGGAGACGTTCCGGACAGTGGTTGGATTTCGACGAACCACCGAGGTAATTTTCAAAGCCGAACCCTCACGAAAAAAAGATTCTGGTCACGGCTTGGTGGTCATCGGCTGGTGTGATCCACTATAACTTTTTATCACCAGGCCAAACCATCACAGCAGAACCCTACTGTGAAGAAATCGACGAATTGTACCGAAAATTTTGTCAGATGCAGCCAACACTTATCAAAAGAAAGGGTCCGATTCCTTTGCATGACAACGCCCGCCCACACGTTTCACAAATCACTATCCATAAATTGAACGAATTGGGGGTTGAAGTTCTACCTCAACCGCCATATTCTTCAGACCTTTCGCCAACCGACTATCACCTTTTCTAACATTTTCAGAACTCCCTTGCTGGAAAATACTTCATCAATCAGGACCAGGCAAAAAAGCCTTAGTGGATTAGTGAATTTCGTGAATTTTCGACCACCCAGTTTTACTTTGATGGGATTTCTCGACTGCTGTCACATTGGCAAAAGTGTGCTGATTCGAATGGTGCCTATTTCGATTAAATCCGATGAGTATTAAAAAAGTTACGATCGTTTAAAGTGAAACACCCAAAACGCTGAGAACTTTCCGGACAACCTAATAGCTTCGGTTGCGAAAGACCTAATGAGACTCACAGTTCTAGGAATACGGTTGCCTCGATTAATTCGTTCTATAAGGATATGAATGGGAAATTCCACAGTTTAGAAAAATTTCAAAATAATAATGTCAAATTGATACATTCTGTTCGATCCACCTTAGGTACTATTGTCATTTTGATGTGTAAACATAATGCACCAAAAAACCAACAAGACAAAGAAACAAACCAAAACAGATAAAAAAAGGATTTTTGGAGTATTTTGCGTCACCCTGTGAGGGGCGTGCAAGCTTTTTTGACGCCTCATCATTGAAACCTAACGAGGTTGACATCACAATCTACTAATCCAATTGTTTGCATGAAATGTACGCTCATAATTTTTCACGCATAAAAAAGAAAACTGAAGGATTCGGCGCTTGTCAATCCTTTTTGAGATGCGCCACACATTGCATTTCCATTCAGATTCGTAGCGCGTCACGTTTCGAGCTCAGGATGGCATCGTTCTTACCTTAGTGGAAAACGCTGCTTTGGGTACGCTCCGCTGCACGCCCCTCACAGGGCTTCTCGTTTGCAGGAATGGCGACTGCTCAGTCCAGGAAATGCGCAATGGTGCATGATATGATTGTCCGGTCGCGGAGGGCTGCCACCTTTTCTACATACAATGACTTGCGGAACCAGCCGACGTGCAAGTCAGTGTTACGTTCCTCCCAGATGATTTCGGGGAGAAATGGAAGGCTTGATTGGATCGGACGGTAGGATCTAACAAGGGAGGTGTTTCAGGTCATGGCGCGCTTTTTGGAAATGGTTTGTTGCTTGTTGTAGGGGTCCATACAAGGGTCACAAAAATGGGTTTCATTTTTGCTATGCGTTTCTGGGTAGGTCAAAAACTGAGTGAAAAGAATTTGACAAGAATGGGCGGTTTTAACAACCTTAATGGGCTCCTCTTCTGCTTGTAATCTTCAAGCATGCATAAGTTATGAGGTGATCACTAATATGAGGGCCCTCAAAATAGATTCGATTAAAGTCAAAATATAAGTATCATGTGGTAACACACTTGGCATGCACCGACGCAAGAGTGATGTTTTTGTCAGCCAACCCTTCACCACCAACCTGAGCACACGGATCGGGGGTGTCGCGCAGTTGATAACAGACGGTTCTGGATGGCACTGGCAGGGGCACTTGCGGATCGGGTCATTCTCAGCGGAAAATGTGTTTTGCATTTTCACTTCCAATTATCTACGCGATGCCTTGTGGGTCTGGCAGTGAAAAATAAGTCAATAGTATACTCCAATCTTTGAAGGCATATACTTGTGCCACATGTTGCCTGGAAGCATGCTGCGCCCCTACGTCTCATGTCAGAAGGGTATTGCAATGAAACTACCATCACATTTTCTGTTGCAGTCGGGTTGGAATTACTCTGGGGACTAAATTTCTAGCCAAATCTACTTTCGTACCTAAACTTCGGAAAATTGTGGGCCATTCTCTGGGACAATTACAGCAGGCTGGGGTCCACACCACAAACACTGTGATATACTGTCTCGGATGGGTTTCATGGTAAATCAGGAAAATGATGCAGGCGGCACGAACAAGTGAGCCAGGTATTGTTCTTTGCGAAAAGACATGACTGAAGGGTTATTTCAGTGCAAAGACCAAGTTCATACACGCAGGTATTCTAGTCAAGAGTATTGGCTCTCATCTCAGGCTGACTCAATCCTCTCGCCCCACGTTTTTCGAAGCTGAGTACTCAGAACACTCGGATGTCTCAGTGGCGTTTCTAGGGTTGTTTGACCCCCTGAACACGAATATGATAATCTATTTCGCACGGAGAGAGCTGTGAGTCGCGCTACAGGTGCAAATTCACTGCGCCAGCCCACCCGCAAGAAGAAAAACTGTGAAGGAAAACCTCATAACTCCGCTCAGAGAAATTGGTTAGGGAAATTTAAGGTAGTTTCGCAATTCACTGGTGTTAAGCGAGTACAAATGATAAATGCCTGCACTGTAATGGCCAATTTCCTGTCGGCCTTCCCTGAGACACTCATAATAAACCAGCACAGTGTGGAGAGAACGTTGTTTCCCGGAAAGTAGTCCACTCTAGCTTGCGTTCTTATACAGATGGCAAAACCTGTTGCCGCAATGAGGATCCGAACCGAGTCCCGCATTGTCGTGCCATCCAGAATCCATCGTGCTATCCGCTACGCCATCCGATCCGCCAGCAATGGTCATGAAGGGAGCGCTGACAAAAACATCACTCTTGCGTCGGTGCATGCCAAGTGTGACCTTTGATCGGCTATTTTGAGGCCTAATTAAGTGAACCACTTCTCATAAACTAATGCCATCGAAATTACAAGCATAAAGACGCCCATTAAGGTGCCTAAGAACGAGCCCAAATTCTTGTCAAATTCTTTCACTCAGTTTTTGACCTACCCAGAAACGCATAGCAAAAATGAAACCCATTTTTGTGACCCTTGTATGGACCCCTACAACAAGCAACAAACCATTTCCAAAAAGCGGCATGACCTGAAAACACCCCTTGTAAGGTTTGACCTCACCAGGTGAAGTAATTCGGCGCACCTTACCCTATACCCCAATAAGATGACTAAACAAATATGAATTCAAACAAATTCTCATGCTACAAAACTTACTGTTAATCTCCAGAAGAAGATTCCACCAATCAGCAAAACGATTGCTTTCACAATTCCCACGATTATTGCACGAGTGAAAAAGTCCTCATGATGCCCTAAAAAGAGCACAGTGAATTCAGCTGATTCCAACAGGGAAGTGCAAACAGCATTTTTCCAAGATTTAGCTTAATCAGTGCAAAAGATTTTAGCCCTTAACAGGGCATAACTGAAAGTTGTAATCCAGAGCTCCACTGCACGCGATGGAGACGAGGTAATTAAGGGTCAAAGACAGTAGGATAATGGAAGCAGTGGAATAAATGCTGCGTGACTCACCTTGTCCATAAAAACTCAAAAAGGCGTCGGTGTTGAATATGGCAACGATCAGCTTCAAAACTGTTATTATTGCCCATAGTGTGAATTGGAATGCCTGAGAGTGGACATATTGAAAAAAACAAATGAGATGTTGGATGAGTCACGTATAAATGACAGGCTAGTTCCGAACAAAACCCAATTACAGCCTGTCTAGGATGATCGTTATGAGCTATAAGCTATCAAAGACAAGCTATACACTCAACTTCGAGGAGGACCCTGCCATGTGCTAGGTAAATGGATCCACAGCTGCATTAGTGTGTCACTTTTCCCCTCAAAAGGGCAGGGGAATGGGCCCTTTTGAGCGGTAGGCGTCTCCATATTCCACTCGCGCTATCCTCAATAGCACCTGTATCGCCACCAAGACCCCGGTGAGAAACACACACTTAGTGGTTGAGAACCAGAGGAGAGAAGGCGCAAGTAGGGTTGCGCTATGGTCAGGCGCGTGATTGGACGAGCGACTGCGCTGGCGGATATAGAAGTCGTTACCACCATTCTCCAGCCCCTTTTGCATGCACTTCTGCCAAACGAAGTGGCAAGTTGTGCAGCTCTGGCCGTATTCACGTGGCGCATGGCAATGATCAGGATCTGTGGAGGTGAATGTACAGTTTGTCTTCAACTCACGACCTATTTTGGACGTAAATCCGATGAGATCGCTCGATTTGCTTCCACAAAAGTAAACACATAAAATCCCAATGTTAACGAATATAGATTCCAGTTTAAAGACAGCCCCCGCGCTCGAGTAGTACATGGTCGTCCTTCCTTGTGCAAGTAGTACAGCCCCCAAGCTAGAGACTGTCCCACTCTATTCGACTCCACAGCGAGGAGCGAGCTACAGCCGCTGAAAGTTCTAGTTCTAACGCCCGCTCAGTTGGACCGCCCACTTGCTAGATGCCCTCCGACGGAGGGCCGCTCAGTTGTTCTTTGTTGGGGCGGCGGGCATTAATCGGAATTGCATGTCCTTTTTGCTGACCGCGCTCGTGCCCATGAATAATTCTGCTCTCCTTTATTACATTTTATTCATTGGGAGCACATACAGTCAACTCCAACCCATCTCGCAAGGTAAAACGCGTAAAAATCACGAGCGACCCAATTTTCGTGGTGCAAAAGCTCGACGCACTACTACTACACTAAAATCTGCTACCGAGCTTTCTAAAAAATCTTTTCCTCTTTTAAGCGTTTTATTTCGTGTTTCTCTGTTTTTCGTATTCTTTTCTTTGCATTGGATGATATCTAGTAGTGAGAGATGCCTAAAAGCGATCTGTGAGCCAGGGTTTGCATAGGGACCGCAGGGCGGTGTGACCTGTAAGCGTGAGCGATTTGTCTCGAGGACTCTTCTTGCTTTTTTTTCTTCTTTGGGAGATTACTTATCAGCTACTGTTTCATAATTGAAAAGCAACTATCCATGACACTTTTATCGCGGGAGCTGTCTTTAAAGGCAGCTCCCGCGATAAAAGAGTCCCCTTCCAACAGCACCTTTCTCGTCTGCTTTTTTTCCGTTTGCTTATAACGCACACTCACCTGTACCTGTACTTGCTTGACAGTTCATGCCCGCGTTTGTCGACGTGTCCCTTTCTCCACGGTCCGATAGCGAGGGAAGTTAGCGCTGGGTCGTCAGAAGCAAGGCCACACGTAGAAGTTGCTCCACCTATTTGATCTTCTGTCTTCAACGATAGTGTGAGGATTTGCGCTCATTCTGCGTAGGACCGAGCTTTGCCGTCTCGCTCGTGTACGCCTTCAAGTGCACTGAAAATTGCTGAGATGCGGTAGGCGTGGCTGCGTACTCGACCGACGCAACGGTGCTTGCTTTGACGAGGTATTTTCATTTGAACGCTACAACTGTGGCACATTTTGTGAAAACACAGGAACGAAAGCATTTCTCTTAAAGTTAAAAATATCCCCGAAGTAACCACCCTAAGCCATGTCCCAGATGGCCACCATCTACTTCCGGTTCAAGGGAATAGGGAAGTCTACTGCCTTTGTGACCGCCTGCGATGGGAATCCTCCTTGCAACAGAAGAGGAAGGTCTATCACCAAGAAAACAGACGTTCCTCCGAACCCTACGCCATCGTTGTCGCCGAGAGAATGAAGATTCTTGTGGAGCGGATCAAGCTGTCTCTGGCGAAAGGTTCAGCGCATCTGACCACTCAACTGTTTTTATCTTCGGGCGGCTTCTGTGGTAAGGGTCCTGGCAAAGACGTGACACGTAGTAGTCGTGCCATGGTTTCGAAGGAAGTTATAGACGCGTGGACAAGGAAAGGCGGAGGAAGTCGAAGAGCGAGAGAAAACTCATGGAAAATTGGCCTATTTGCGCTCCTAGCAGGAAAGAGTGGTGGCTCGGCGTTGTGGTCGCTTGGGAGAGAACATTTGTAATATCAACTGGTTCTTTGTTAGTTTCTGTTAAGTTAACGACTAACCAAAGCGAGATCTGTGGACCCTCGTCAAGAGTCAATGAAACTCCTGCTACTTCATAACAGCTGTACAGTAATACAGGTCTTCTTTAGGAAGGCATCGTCAGTGACACGCGCAACCGCAGAAGTTCCCAACCAAAGCCGAGTAGCGCCGCGAAAATCCTAATGCGCAGAGGTTACAGGCGCTGTTTTGCCGAGCCATTAGAGAGTCACCCAGGTCAACCGAACATTTCACATCTCCAAACGTGGCCATTGATTACTTGAGAGGGCAATTTTCACATACCAGAAAACTGAGTGCAAATGAAGAGAGAAACAATGCATCCGAATCAACACAGCAATTCTGGTTGAGCTTTACCAACAATGCCGCGAAAGACAGCACAGAAGGGGTAGAGGCAATGCGGCATAACGGCTACTGTGTCGGCTTGCACTTCGGTTAGACTCAGTCTCGGCCTGTATAAGCCAACCCTCAGTTCAAGATCTAGGGTCGAGATGAAGCGCAAATATCCTTCAAAGAAACCTGTCCTTGCAACACGTTGAACTGAGATGCACAAGGTGTTATGAAAAACATGCACAAACCCTCCTTTTCCGGGCCATTAGAGGTATTCTAGCATTTTCTGTGGCTTCACGTTCCCTCAGCATCTTCATTCTATTAGGAAGAAACATTCACGCAGGGTGTGGTCGCGTCAAGTGTTACAACGCAGCGAATCGAATACATGACACTGGAAGTCTTGTCGAAAACGGAGGTCAAAATTGTATTGGCAAATACACTTCAACTTCAAGAAAACCTCATAAAGAAGAAAGGCACTCACCGCATAGAGATTAATTGGCCACATCCATCTGTGCTTCTCCTTTTTCAACGCGTACAAAGTGAGCACGATAATGACGACGTGGGGCACTGAAGGCACCAATTAAGGCACGGTAATGTCTTCAGAGAAATAAAAGTATCAACGAACCTATGAAGAAAATCCACCATGGGAAGAGGAAGATCAAATAGAGTGGTATGACCAATATTTCGAACCATAGAAGGACTTTGGCAGCGTTCTCAATTCACCAAAATCAATCAAAACTGTTTCGAAATGGATGCATTTGGGTGCTCACCACAACATGTGCACGACCGAGAAGGCAGCGGTAGTCAGGATTCTCCTCTTCCCACTCGATATCCCATTGCCACAAATTGGTCACATACTCTGGTAGAGCAACTTTGTCAAAAAGAATCATATCTGAACAATCGAAATTGACTTCCTTTCTTACAAGCGCTGCTGATGATGAGTAGAGCGTAATGCGATGCAAAAAGGAATCTACAGAACCATGGAAAAGCTCGGTACTGAAAAAATTGACGAGAATACTACTCGAGAAGTGATACATCGATATTGATGGCGGTGACATCGTTCGCACTAGCGCCTAGGCCGCCTTTGAGAACCGGTTCATTGAAGGAGGCCGAAATACCTGCCATAAACAAGACACCTCACAAACGTCACGCGTATGTAATACTTCCCTAGTGGGAAACCTGACGTCACTGAGGCCCCAGAAATGTCACCTAGAAGCGCTCCAAAGGTATCACCTTCAAACAAGTCTCCTGGTTCGCATGCACCGGTAAACGAACCCGCACTGAGCTGGGACACTACTGAATTTTGAATGTTCCATGCATTAGAAAATTGCGGCGCAAAATGTCCGTCAAAAAGCTTTCTACGGTTGTCCCTGAGAGCGTGTTATCCTTGCGATATCTTTGCGACAAATATATCGGGCACAATTCCAGAGGAACTCCCTTTCCTTGAGATCAATTATCATTCTTGACAGTGAGATTTTTGAAAAAGGGAACAGCGTGTCAATAGCAATATCAGCTCCTTTCCCTTACACTCTCACCGTCGAATGGAAGAGAGCTAGCAAGCGGGCTGCTGATAGTGGCTAATAACGGCGTGGCTGACATGGGCCTTAAGTGTCCATGGGCCAAAAGGCCAGCGCGGGCTGGTCTGTGCTTGCCAAATCTCATTTTTTAAAGGCACAGCCTCCACAACTGAACGGTAGAGGCCACGTTACAGCCTCGAAAGTGGGGAACGGATGGGTGACAGCTACAGGGAGGAGTTGTTGACGAAAATATGGCGCCCCACGACGAGATCATTGACGAGATAATTAAGCGAAAGCTCGTCGCCCACGTTGCTTCACTGAAACATTGTTCGAGTGTTACTATTCAGCAGATTTATCGTGCGCTGCCAAGACTATCTAAGACAACTCTCTTTAAGGAGAAATATCCGCTTGGTGCCGAGTTCTAGATTTTGGCGGTCATCTGCGTGTTTTTCTCGTCTGAACAGTCCTAATGCGACCTCTTGTAAAACTAAAAGCGGAGCTACTGGAGAACTAGTGATACTTTCGTTTCTCTGAAAAACAACTTCAGCTTTTCTCATACGCCCACTATTGCGCTGCTTTTTCTTGGTGGTTCAATTGCAGGGCACACAAAACCCCAGTCCCCCAACCCAGAACAATTCCAAATTTGTTTGGAAAATTCCAGAACGCATCTTTTCATCAGAGTTAAGAGGAAATTCTTCATTCGGCACAGATTGACATCCACCATCTGGCATTGCCGCCATGCGTCGACTCCACTTGACATGTGTGACACCTATTATAGGGCCTCTTTCTTCAGCGTGAGCCAGGATGCGCACTCCTACAGATCGCAAGTCGTAACGTGTAATAGTGCGTTCTCGCTTTGTCGTCATGGGCGGCCATCTTTCGTCAACACCCGTCGTCACCATCCGTTCCCCACTTTGAAGCCTGTAAGTTGCCTCTACCTTCAGTTGTCTTATTAGGTGTTCTTTACGACAGGAATCACGAATAAGTCCCTTATGGTTTGGTGGCTGTGCTCATCTAAGTATCGTAGCTCCTCCCACTTCTGGATGAGCCCGGCCGCTTACGAGCCCCCCCCCTCCTTCAGCGCGGTCCAACACGACCCCTCCTCTTGTGATTTCCACAACGATGGCGTGCCCAGCTCCCACCTTCTGGAACTTTTCCTATACCATGAAATTTGAGGGGAAAATGCAGAAAGTGTGGAAAAATTGTTAGGTATATCTGTGGAGGGAGACAGGCAAATGAATCGTAAACTGCCGTTTCGTCGCGCGGCAATAGGCGCGACGTCTTCTTAATTTGCACTGCCCTTTCGACTGAAGCATCGGATTTCATGTAGACAAGGACATGGTAACACTTATGTCTATTTTTGGTCATACATTGTCTATTATCGCTCTTACCACCTTGAATCCTCATCATTCGTCGCGCCAGTGGGCGCCGCGCGCGACGAATTACGATTCTCTTGCCACATACCCTACCTTTTGGGACTTTGAGCACTGGCGGGCCGAAAAATGATTGGGATGTTCAGCATACTGGGCAGTACTCTCAAGCGTCTTCATTGGATTCATACTGTCTAGTGTTAGGGCAACAAAGTATTCGTTACTGCTTTATCGAGTCGAGATGTCGACAGCGTTAAGGAACTCACATTTTTATCCGCGACGAGTGATGCACATTATGTTGAAAGAAATCATAATCAAGAAATTGCCAGTAACCTCAGGGGCACTCAAAGGACCACTCTGCAAAAATGGGAGCACCCTACTAAAGATGGGTTCTTGATTACCGACAAAAGTGAAATATCCCATCCTACAGGGGGGGGGGGCAATAAAAAAAAGTCACTTCGACCGAGTCACATATCAGCAAAGTTTTCGCAGCCCAGACAGAGGACGTGGATACGAGTACCAGGGCGGAAGATACCGATGTTCCTCGATAAGCAGGAGCTGGCTCTCGCCCATCACCTTCATGTACACCAAAATATGAAGTCCGGAAGCCTTTGAATTCCATGTCCAGCAATGTCACCTCGCCAACAGCTGCGAAACTTGCCAGTATTATTCACTTCGTCCTCCTAAGCTACTCTGAACGATCGGCACGCTTAATTCTGGAAGACCTCGCAACATCGAGCAGCTCCGACAACGTCGCTAAGGTCCAGGATATCTTCTTCACAGCAGTCGCCAAAGCGCGGGTTGGGCGGGTTGGTGTTATGGACCGGACGTACCTTGTGTGGAAAGACCTATATTTTCTTCGTGGGCTGGGCTCCGGACTGTGGAGGTGAGCACTGGCGGTTGCATCGAGCAACTCGAGGAAAATTTTCCACATGTCGTCGCCCGTACCTTCTTGGAAACTTTGTACTGCTACAGCATTGGGTGCCACCACATGGAATCGGAGGGCGTTGGAAAAACTCTCGCCTACTTGGAATGGAAGGGCGTTGAGTACCTAAAGGAAGATGGAATCCAAGTAGGTCACCTGACCTAAACTACCGGTTCGGGCGGAGTTCAATAGGGTGGTCTACGGTGGCGGAGAAATCGACTATCTCGCTGATCTCAGGCACCACATCGCGGTCGCGTGCCAGAATCTCTCGATGGCGCTCGTCCAGAAGGCTGTGGCGGAGTGTCATGGTAGTATTTAATATGCTCTTTAAGAATGTGGTGGAAAATGTCGCGATTTAATATGCTCTTTAATATGGTGGTGGAAATGTCCGATCAGAATTTAATAAAGTGTAACTTATAGCGCCTCGAAAGTCAAGGAAGAAAAGTGACTTTTTTATATACAGTCGCGGAAAAAAAACTTGGAACAAGCTTCGAAAAGACATCCTCATCTTTTCTAAGTTGCCTAATCTCTTCTTATACACCAGTATCAGAGTCAGAAGCTAAGAATACAATGTTATAACACAATAATATTAAAATTTTGGTCCGGAGATAGTGTAGTGGCTGGTGGTGCCACTTACCACAAGCGTGGTCTGGGGTTCAAAGCCCGGATCGGCTCCCGCCTGAACCAACCGAGTTTTTCGTGCCTGCGGGGAAAGCTAATTAGTAGTAGACTCGTCTAAGAAGATAAAAAGTCGACTCCTACATTGGCAGCCCTCACCCCACCCGCAGGTCCCCCCCTTCCTCAAAGTGCCTCATCGCCGTAATCTTCAAAATTCTGTCCCTGCAACGGATCTTCATGTACATTTTAAAACTTTTAGATGAAGCTATTCAAATGCGCGCAACTTGGACTTGTTCCCAGTTTTTTTCCGCGACTGTATATCCCACCGAGCATTCAACAGCAGTTTCCCCGTTCAGATGTGAGAGATGTTAGAATCTCGGAGTTCTGGGGTATTGTTGAGTGGATGACGATATTTTTCGGCTGACTCAATCGCAACTAATAACCAGTAACGAGGTTAAGCCGGAGATTTGGACATGAATCTCTCTCACCTCGCTGACAACAAGGACTTTTGTATCCACCGTACAACTGTTAAAAAACATCATTACCACAACGTATAAATAGGCAGTTGACACTGATTTCACCCGTTACTCTGTGTTTTACCCGACTTCGAATTTTCCTCCCTCTCAGCAGTTGCTTTCTGGCACTGTAACATTTTCTTAGCTTATCTTTTTTGGAGGATACTGAAAACTATCAGAATTTCGGAGTTCACATATTTCTGTTTTGGTGTGATTAATAGTAACTGAGCCTAACATTGGCCAGTTCCTCTTGGGATACGCCACACTTCCAGTTGTTAACCAGAATGATAGAGGAATTTGAAAGCGCACTAATCAAGCCACCAGAGAGTTTGTGGTGTCAAACTGTCAGTAGGGGTTTTACTGTCACTGGTTTTATGCCCTCCGCCCATACATCCATACTGGCACCAATGGAGAAGAGACAACATAGGAGGCAAGAAAGGGTCAATCTGGGAGGTTCCATGGTTTAGCGACATCATTTCCCTCTTTTCACTCTCCTCTCGCAGTAGCGCAGAAAACCAAAAGGGAAACAACGTTAAACAGACATTGAAATTGTTTAGGCGTTCATTCTCTGAAAAATTCAGTAGAAGGGGCATTTCCGACGTTTTACCCAACTTGATAGCGCTTCTTAATTTGAAGAATGTTTTTCCTGACGTCTTAATTCCCTGAATGAATTTTTTATGACGACTAATCGCTACGACTTTTCGGACCGAAATGATTGCCCTCGTGGTAATAGCAGTTGTTCTACTCGTCACGACGGAAGCGAATTCTCATCGTGTAAGATTTTTACTTTTCTGTATCCGCGCCATGCTAATTTCGAATATGCTTTCAGCCTCCTCCACCGGGTGGGGAGAGCGCCCCAGTGGGTGCGATGCCTCGTGGCGGAAATAGTGGAAATATGCAAAACAGTGGAGCTGGTATGCCACCGACTCCTCGACCTGGAGACAATCAGGAGCCACACGTAAAACCGGGCCAACAACAGCCGCCACCATCAGGATAAATGTATTACATTCGCAGTTGATATGGATTCCCACTATTTTGTTCGCACGCTACCAAATAAATATTACGGCCTCATCTGCGTGAAGAAAAGTTAAGAAAAGAAAACAACACAGGAAAAATACGGCAAATTAATCGTCGCAATCCACAAAATATACCACAAAATGGGAAATTCATACAGAATTTGTGAGATGTTCAATAACTGAGCAAATGGTTGATGTTTTTATTTATACCAGAACGCCTGTTTGACAGCCAACAGGTGCTATATGTCCTCCACACGTGTCACTTGAACCTTGGCCACATTGTGCAGCGGATACGAAGGTGTGGTCTCGTAGGACTTATATGTATAATAGTTTCTAGTGGGAGCATACCGTAACAGCAATCAGACTGATAACGCAGGAGCGGTTTCAAGATTTTGTTAACACTCAGTAAGTACC